TCTGGCAGTGTCAGAGACACAAAACCCACGTTTTTGCAAGGCGTGAGATATATTCTTTCTATCAGCAGCACTACGAGTCCCAACAGCGGCACGGACCCACTGCGTGGCCCTGTGAGCTATGCAGAGAAGGTGTGCAAAAAGAGAGAGCCTGCCTCAGAATCTGCAACTGGGGATTGAGGCAAACTGTGAGAGAGAAGTAACAAGCTAGACCGGAATAATTCAGCCTAGGCTGCAGCAGAGAGATAGGCAGCAGCGAAAAGTGTTTGCCCCATGAACTGGCACTAGACAGGGGCAGAGCTGGTGGGGTCATCCAGGGCGGTAACGATGCCTTCCAAGAGTGAAAGGAGCTGTACATGCTCATCACAGCAGACTCAAAACGAAGGTACTGGAGGCATAGGGGAGAGGTGCTGGGGGAGCTGGGACAGCAGCGTGCTTCGCCATCAGCACCGCGGCCAGGAAGGCAAGGCCAGCAATAACGCCCCAGACAGACATTTTGGGGTAAAGCTGGAGGTGCAAGCCATCATTTATCCTAACTCTTTCAGGAGATCCAAGTGTGTTATTTAGTATTAGATAACTTACGACTAGTAGCGGGTAGGCAGCAGGGATAGCATCAGATATCAATATGAGTAGAACTTCAACCAATAAAAGAAACCAACAGAGGCAGCATGTGTTGACTTTGCTTTTAGACAGGCTAACCAGAAGTCCAAAGACGAGAAAACTTTGGGGCTTTTCTCAAGTCACAAAACTAACCGACAGGTATCTTGACCCTACTCAGATTAATCCTAGACGGTATGAACCATACCTGATTGTTTTACACAGATTTGGCTTATTTTGTTAGTGACTAAGGTAACAAAAGCAGGATTGTGCACTTAACCTGCACCCAGGGAAAGGTTTCATCTGCAGGTATTCTGCAGCCTCGTCTGAATTCCTCATCAGTGCTCTACCAAATAACTTTTACATTTATTTAAGAACCTTTATTTTTGTTTTCATTTCATATCCCTGTAATCTCCAGCTTCATATCACTGTCACACAAATTTCCTCTGCCGTATCGTTAGTATGTCGCTCCTTATTTACTCACTGTACGGAGTGCAAAACACACCAAGTGAAGCTCCTTCTACCTATTCCTGCAAAAGCTGGTCTCTGGGGTGACTCCCCTTCACTCCCTGGATCCTAGTGACTACCTGGGATAAGCCACAGCCAAGAGTTGCTGCCTTCTGGAAATCGCTTTGCAGGCTGGTAAGGTTGGTTGCTTGAGGCGGTGCGAAAGGAGGTCTCTTCCTTTCGTACCTCCTGCACTGTCAGGCAGGAAGAGGCCCAAAAGCGCCATGTCCAGGTGTGTCAGCAGGACTGAGGTCAGAACTCACCCGCTGCCAGCATCAGGCTGTATTTCACAGGAGATACGATCTGTAGGAACCAATAAACCTCTGCAAAGCAAAGCAGCCCTTTGCTCTGTACTCCGCACCTCTGATGCTTTGCAAAGTCAACTCCACAACTGCCAAATGTCGTCTTGCAAGACCACAGACTTTTCCCTCCCACCTTTTTGTAATCAAACCTTATTATCTTTATCGCAGGGAAAACCAGACTGAGGCTAAGAAGCCTCAAGCAGAATGAAACAAGAAAGAGCAAGAGGAGTGCTCCTTTCCCGATACCAGAGCTAAGCCGCCTTCTGCCTTGGTCATCCTCGAGGCGAGCGCTTCCCACACTCATTTTAACATCTAAACAAAATACCCTTTTTCCTGGCTCCAGCCACACACCAACTTCTCCTCAAATCTGTTTACAGGCTCCCCATCACTTACGGCATCAAATTCCCACCTTCGCTTTCAAAAGCTTCCACATGCCACGACACCCTCCTGCTTTCCTTCCCTGGTTTCCCTCAACTCCTCTCACTCACAGCCCCTGGTTTTCCTCCGCTGGTTCTCCTCGCAGTGCTTCCTCACCTCTACGCCTTTTGCCCAATGCAAACTCATTCTCTTTTGCTCACGTGACAATCCAGTTCCACCAGAACAGGAGCTCTGGCTGGACACTGATGCCAGGGTACACTCAGCAGCTCACAGCACCGAGCAAATGGTCGGTGGTTGAACGACCACGGGGAAGACAACAGAAAGGCCGGGAGGGGGGAACAGTTAAACGCAGGGTGATGTACTGTGAGTAAGCGATAACCACGCAACAGGAACAGAACCCGGGAGCAGTCACACTTTTGGAGTAGCAGGAGGCAGCGGATGACAGGAGAGAGTGGATAATGATTCAGAAGTGGATATTTAATTTAAAAGAAAAGGACATGAATACAAAAATTAATCTATTTTCATATTAATAAACTTGAAGTTACTAATAGGGTCAAAAAGGTTGTCAGCAACTTTTGTCAGCTTTACACTGGTAATGATGACTGTTGGGAACAGTTTCTCGACACTCCCCATAAACATCGGAACAATGTCCTTTTTTTCCTGAAAACATGTCCTGTTGGGGGGAAAGAAATTAAGGATAATGAGCTGACAGATTAGGATCTAAAGCTCACGACTAAGTACACAGCCATCTTCTGTTTTTCAGAAGAATACATATTTCTAGCTGAGGGTCACTGGTGTTTACTAAAACTGAAGTTTATTCCTAGAAGGGCATTCATCGTGATTCTTGCTATACCCAAGCACTGCCCCTGGATGAGAGAGAAAATCCACTGGTCTGTTTTAAGGTCATGGCTCAAGAAGGCATGCTCACCACATTTTTAACGCACAACTCAGAAGGATGTTAGCACTGTATGTTTTTAATCTCTAAGTTAATACAGCACAGAATTGTATTAAAAGACCATTACGTTGGAAGGCATGGTGAGATTAGGAAATGTCGGACCGAAGTTGCCTGCGCATCCTGACTGCTGAACTGCATCGTGATCCAGTCTCTAGCTACACGACTGCACGCTTGCCCTCTGGGAACCCACACAGTATTTCTTTGTCATCATTATTCAGTGTGGCCCAGTCCCTATTTCCTAGACTACTCAAACCCTGTGCTGAACACAGAATTATTAATTTTATGAAAGTTTTCTTCATGGCATTGTCTTGATTCTTTATAAACAGCCATGACACTGATTTCTCCATGACCATGTGAGACAAAGGGATGGTATCACCATATATCACAGATAGGGAACTGAGGCAAGAGCCTTAAAGGTGTGCACTGCCAATAGGAGACCAAGCAGAGAAGGCTGGCACTTGAATTTTCAAAGCCACGCATACAAAACAGACCTTAAAGATCCAAAGATCACCTCTACTGGCTTCAGATACATTTTTGAGCATTCAGCATGCCTGAAAATCAGTTTCCACATGGAGAAAAAGCAGAACATAGAACACACATACATCAGTGACCATAGCGTGAATCTCTGCTGCTTCCTTCTCTAACATAAAGTCTGAGGCTTGTCATTCTCTGTGGGAACTGAGAACAGGCAAGTGAGGTGACATTCATTTTGCCAGTGGGTTTCACAAGTATTTATTACACAAAGTGGACTGGTGAGATGACGGGCCTCAGTTCAAGACCAGGTTTTGAAAGGAAACGTGTTTAGTGGTCACAGACCCTTAACCTCCAAGCCTTATTCCTCTGCCCTTATGCTCCTCCTGTTCCCATCTCTCACATACCTGTCTCTGCTGTGTGCCTTCATCCCTACGTTTCCATGCAGCCTCCTTATCCCAAACGCGCCCTCTTCCCATTGCCTCCCTCTTTCTGACCCTACATTCTCACCTGCCTTTTCCAGGCTCCTGGTGCCTGCTGTGTTTCAGCTCCCAGTTCTCTGCTCAGCCAGTCCTGAAACGCCCGGTCTACAGCACCCACACCCAGATGTAAGCCTCAGGCATTTCTCAATGGATTTCTTCTGCAGTCCAGCACGGCTCCTGCTCAGTGGCTTACCCCTTCTACGCCCAGATTTGAGAAAAGAGTCTCCCTCATTCCCAGTTTCCAGTTCCAAATCTGGTGCCACAGAAATGCTGGGTAAGGTATGACGTCTGGGGTATGTACAAGGTGGAGATAAACTTTGTGGTGATAGATAAACTTTACCTGAAAGCCGTAAACACCAGGAAACCTGATCATAAGCAATGATTCCAGATCAATCTTTTCTGGTTTCAGCATCAACCTGTCCACTCTGTAATTAGATCCTGAATATGCCCTTTTCACTGATGTTTTAAAAGACAAATTTAAAATGTTTAGACAACTGTTGCTATGAAAAGGAGTCTACCACACAAAATACCCCAAGAAATTAATGAGCAGAAAAAGCGTTAGTGAAAGTGTAAGATCCAGCCTGGAGGTTTGACAATCCTTTTGGTTGAATCTATGGCACTGCTAATATGAGATTTTGTAAATGCAATAAGAAAAAAACTGATCTATGAATGAAATTTATCAAAACTAGAACCATATATGACATCTTAGCCTTCCATTCAAACTTTTTTTTCACTCTTGCTCACAACTGCTATGAACAGATACAACTTTTGGAGCAGAGTCCCACGGCTGACTAACAAAAAGGCAAGGGGGAAGCAGATGTGTTCTGGCAACCAAAAAACATTTAAGAAAAACCCTGAACCCTCCCAGGTTTGGAGTCATCCTGCACACTCGGTTCTAATCCTACTTGGTCCTGTCTACGTCAGTGGGCACCGACCGCAGGACTGGTACTTGCACCCCGTGCATTTGGCAGGAGTTCAACATCTGAAACACCCAGGAGCAGCCTCCGTTTCTGCGGCTTCCCCGTTTGCCCTTGGGTTGCCAGATGGCAGTCCCCCGTTGGCACACGGGGGCTCTGGGTGCCCGCTCGCACCCGTGTCAAGCATGGCAGAGGTACGCATCTGCCTCTGCGTGGCATCTGCAGACCTGGTGTGGAGCTCTCGAGAGTGGCTCTGGGCCAGCGTCCTACCCGAAGGACATACAGCTTTGCACTCGGACGACGAAAGAGATTTCCACAAGCAGCCCAAAGGGTGCGAAATACTAAACGCAGGCCTTATCGACAAGAGAGGTTCTCCATGTCGTGTCTTACTCACCCAGAATTTTACGAGGAAGAAAGCGTTTTGGGGCCCCTTCCCAAACAGTTCCTTTAGACCGCCCTTCTTTTCAGGAAATTTGTCATAAATCTGACGAATGTCCACCGATTCAAGCAACGGGTCACTGTAAGAATGGTTAGCGTGTCCAATGTGTACGAAGAGGTGCTTATTGTACTGCAAGAAAGAAACAGGAAAATCAGTGCTGAACATAAAGAACAGAGGCTTATTAAGGCAGGGGTCTGCACGTGCTCCGGCGGAGGGTTAAACCACTCGCACATTACTCCCGGGACTGCGATTTTCTGCAGTATGATTCCTATGAACAACATAGCGATTGTGTCGTAGCCCCTTGTGAACAAGGCTCAACATCAAAAAACCCGTGTCCCTACTGCAAACCACAAAACGTGGTCATCTTCAAGGCAGTAATTTACACTGACAGACCCAGAGGCAGCACGGTGATAGAGCCCTTCGCAGAGCATAATTCAGATGAATATGCTCATGAGGAAAGCCTATTTCTGCCTCTTTAAACCACGTCTTTCAGTGTCCCATGTCCTCAGGGCCTGAATTTCTGCTAGTGCACAGAGCCCACGCATGTACACCTCTACTTGTCTATTCAAAACCCCCAAACCTCTGCCTATGGCGTATGGTAAAGCAACTTAACTAAAAGAGATGGAAGGGTTTTTCTTCTGACTCCAGAGTAACGATAACGAGAAGGCCAGTTACTCTGTGTTGCTGTTACTATAGAAATGGTCCTCATTCTACGTCCTCCAGTATTTTGACCCATGTAATTTTAAAGAGACCAACTTTTAGCCTTTCCCTTGGGAGCTAGCCCTGTAGATGACCATCTCTGCTAAAGCACATTCAGCTCCAATTTCCTATTTCTTAACTTCATCCCATCGCACCTAATTAGAATCACGGGAGTCACCTCAGCAACCCCTTTCCTGCCTGGGGGTAATCCTTGGCCCAGTGAGGTCCACAGCACCACCCTACTGAGTCCAATATGATCTTTCAGGGGCTGCCAATTCTCCAAGAAGCGAGCACCTTTCAGCACCTGAAATCAAAGCGGAAGGACGAACCAAACACCCTCCGCTAGTCAAACAGCAGCTCAGTGTCAGATCACAAAACATTTTGCTAACTCAGGCAAAGGAAAGCTGATACGCAGTCAATGAACACGAGAAAACCCTGCCATACTGAACAGATGCTGTATATAAGGAGCAATTCCCAAAAGCTAAGCACAAATAAAATATTTAAAACCTCAAAGCAGACCTCATTTAAGCTATTTTGTTTACAATATACCTGCTGAATCAACAAATTGAAATGACAAATCTAAATTAATTGGACATCCACTCAGAGCCTTCCTTCGGTGTAAGCGGAGTCCTCCCTAGCAGATGTCCAAAACTCTGGGGAAAAGAAAATGGACTGGCTAGACTTCAGCACTTAGGAAATTAAATCAAAATCTATCTAAAAATCATCTAGCACAGCAAAATCTGAATGTAGAATCAGAGAACACTCCTCTGTGTATGGGGCCAAAAACGAGATACGTTCCATGCGTTCTACAGGGCTGCATCTCTTTTTTACTTTTGGGGAAGGAAAAAGGAAAGCGTAACACCTAAGGTGTTTGCACAAGCCAGTCCAAGCCTGAGAGCACCAGTTCCACGGATTTTCCTTGCAGCCCTCTTTCAAAATAACGCCCTCCCAGCTTCTTAGGTGCGCTAGTCGGAAACTCGCCCAGCCTTTACTTAGTGCATGTGGAACCCAAAAGGGGCAGAGCTGATCCAAAGAAGCTGTTTCTACCTGGAAGAGGAAAACAGGCACGGCAGAGAGGAGCTGAATGCACGCATGTGGGAGCGAGCGTGCCAGCTAGCCCTCGCGCAGCACCCGTCTAAGCTTGCACGCCGATCAATACACACACAGCACAGGAAACCATCGCGTGGGTCGGCAACCAGGAGTGCGTACCGTAACAGCGTCCGCGGTCAGATACAGCACGTACGGAGACGTTTTAACATGACAAAACAGATCAAAAAATGCAAAATGAAAAATATTACGAGAAAGCACCGTGGCTCCAACTCTGGGGTTTTTCTGACGCTGTTGTCATGTCTTTAGCTTGCACTACTGTAAGCAACTAGAAGTCATGCTGAACATTCCATATGTATCTTGCTGTCTACTGAAAAGCGCAGATCTCCCTAAAATGTACCCTCACCCTATATACCTGGGAACTACAAGGAATCCAAGAAAGGGAGTCCAGAAACCTGCTCCTGTGGCTTTCCTCAGCTAACAGGCGTGAAGCGGGGGAGAAGGGGCCATGGGCTGGGTCACTGAACGTGGCTGTCAACAGAAGCCTATCTGTGAGCAGGCCAACATCTCCATTTTTCAAGAAGAATGATGAGAATTCCCCAGTAGAGGTAAGCGCTTCATCCTTCCCTAAAATAATTACACCTAAACATTTCCTTTCCCCCAGCCCCCTGCAGCCTGCCATGCCAGCAGTTGTGCCTGTCCCCAGGGACAGGAGATGTCCCAGAGCATCTCTCTGCTGTCCTCGTTTAGAGTAAGGGCTTGAAAAACCATCCCCACCATTAGCGACCAGGTCGTTATTCATTCTGGGATTGTTTCTCCCAGTCTTCCTTGCAGGACTTGTTGCAGGTTGTACAAATAACCACATTTTTAGAGGAACAGAACTGAGGGCGCAGCTTCTCCTGAACCTAGAAAGTGTCCTTCTCTACAGTGGTGTCTCTCTCCCAGGCCCAAAGGTGGCTGTGGAGTGAAGGAGGAAGGGAGAGCTGGATTTTACTGTTTGGCAGCCGCAAATTCCCAAGACAATTCACATACTGTACCTTCTTCTGCAAACCAAGAAAATATGCAGATTGGTCAGTGTCCAAACTTTATTAAAAGCAGATACATTTATAGGAGGATGGAGCAGAGGGTCTTCATACTGTTTAAATCTAAACGCCAAGTTGAAGGCAGCTGTAAAGCTACCACAGTTGTCTGCGGAGCTCGCCAAAGTACCAGATGCTGCTGCAGCAAAATTTCCGAGTGGGTACAGTGGGACAGATGGTATGACATCACCTGACAACATTCTTAGGACAGAAATGTTTATTTTGATATTGCAATGTGTGATTATTTTCTCCTTATGTTGCTGCAACTCCTATGATAAATACAATCATTACCAACCTAATTAGATACGGCGTATTTCTACGCACTAACAAGCAATAATATAATATTAGGAGCAGGGTAAATGGATACTGAAGTGATCCCTATCTTTTTTACACAAACATACTCCATAAAAGGAATTTATGCATAGATAAAAGCAAAGCAGCTACGTTTTATGCCTATATTTTTGAGCCCATTAGTGTCTGAAAAGCTTAAAAATATCCTCATTACACTGCGAATTCACCGTTATTTTAGAGTGAGGATTCCAGAGTCACTGAAGTACATTAGGTCCTGAGGAATTTACTCATGCTACAGCATTTAAAGGACTTGTATCCAGCATCGGGGTAATAATGTGCTTTAGATGCTGTAAACACTGACCTGTCAAATCCTGTATTTTCTGAGGATAAAAACTACATAAAAACACCAAGAAGGTTTTCAGCCGTCTTCAGCGTCTGCATTACACAACATGCCCTGGAGATGGCTGCCTCTTACTGAGCTCCCTTCTTTAAAAATATTCTAACTATCCAAAGAATGCAGTAAAGCCATGAAATATGACTGTTGTCAAATAATACCACGAGAAAAATTATAATCCACTTAGGAATTTAAAAGAACCAAGACAAATTGCCAATGGCAGGGGATGCAAGTGTTTAAGCTGGTGCAGAACAAAGACAAATCACCTACATTTGTTTTATCAGCCAGCATATTCATTTGCAACAGCTCTTCCAGCCTGTGAAGTGCAGGTTTGCAAACTGCTACAGCTCTCTCTGCTGCGTCCCTCGGCTTCCCCACACCTGTGGAGCCAACGCCAAGCCTGGACAAGCCTGTCTAGGACCACGGTTCCACTGAACAGTGCAGGTGGCAGTGAAGCCAGCCCTCTGAGGCTCCTGGTGCAGGCAGGCTGGGCATGCAGGGCTGCTGGGAGCAGGCCCCTCACTGCTCCTCTCCACTGGGGTTGCGTCACCCTGCACGCCCTGACACAGAGGGACGGCCTCTCTGCTCTCTCTGCACAGAACATATCCTGTACTGGAGGTCCCAAGGGCCTGCTGCAGCTCAGAGGGACAGGAGAGCGGAAGGCAGGTGGGACAGCCTGAGCTCAGGCTGAAATGAGAGAAAACAGCACTGCTCAAGTGCCTGGCACCCTGCAGCCATTCCCCCTGTACCTCCACAGACCCGTCCAACCCATCTTCTAAAAACGTACTGCAGCCACTTTTAAAAACGCCTGTGCAGCCACAGCGCTACTGGAGGAAAAAGGAGGGTGGACTGATTAAAAACCAATCACTACCATATCAGCAGTCTGCGTGCAGCTCTCACCTGTACCCTACCCAGCCTCAGCTCTGCTGTCTTGCTGTATCTTGTAAATCTGACGCTCTTTAAAATATAAGAAAATCACTTGGTCTGCAAACAATTTTTCTTATTTCTACCAAAACACTAGTAACTGAATATTTAATTCCTGTTGCTGTTATCCTCCGCTGAAGCAGACTGGGAGTTATATTTATATAACAGTTTAATGCTATAACTGGAGTCTATATCAACTCCTTTTATTAAGGTTTTAACACTTGCTTGTGAAATGTTAATTGACCTTTCTTTGCTGGTATGCTGATACAACTGCATGGTGTCCCTAGACTTTCAAGGACCTCCATGCATTCAGACTCCTGCCTGGATCTGCTCAGGGACTGAATCAGGAACGTGAAGTCAAAGGAGATCTTTGGACACTTCATGGTTGCAGAAATGGGGATGTAGGTGAGGAGCGAGCGCAGTCCCCAGCCCTGACGTGATGTTGCTCAGCACTTCCCAACTACTGCCACAAGAGTCCCAGTGCGAAACTGGGACCTGCTGGTTGGGCACAGTGCTCACACTACATTTCCATCAGCTTCCCTGCAACAATTGAAGAGGCATCCTTCAGTTCTACCCTGTTTAATAGGAGACCCTGCAGTCCCAATTCCAGAAGTGCTGAGTGCTCAGATGGGAAAATTATGCCTGAACATAGGAAGCTGTCAATAACAGTGAGTATTCTGCAAAATCAGGCTCAT